ATGAAACTAATGGATCTAAATTAAAAGGTAAAGAGATACTAACAACGAACCTTTTCGTTTGACTCAAAAGCATTTTCCGTCTCCATATGAAAACAATACAGCAATTCGGAAAAGTGCGTTTAATGAATAGATGATAAGAGAAAGGTTACACATCACGAATACAAAAAATGTAATGTAGGATTATGTGTTCATCCATGTTTTGAAATGTATCGCACGTTATTATATTACTAAATTTGATTATTAAATATTGTAAAAAAAGCTTGAAATTAATGTTCACTTCAAGTAATATTGGTTTGATGTAATAGAATTCACACAGTATTTTGAATATTTTAATATACTTCCTCAGAAATGCGTGTCTAACGAAAAACTTCGCCGTACCCAGTGGACGTCGCGAGTAAATTCGTACCGTACCGTACGGCCGGTGCGTGCCAAAGTCTGCCGTAGTCAAAGGGTTAAAGTAGGCGTATGATGCCATATGATACAACATAAATATAAAAAATATGTGTACAGTACAGCACATTTGCTGAATAATCCAATGGAAAGTTACTCAAGTTGCTAATTAGTAATTAGTAATTACAAATAATCATGTGTTCAATAATCAACGCTTTTGCATCTTGTAAACGTTGCGCCTGTTTTACTTTGTCTCGATTGTTTTACGCCTCCTGATTCCCGTCGCGCGTCTCGCTCGCCCGTGTCGCGTAAACAATACATACACGTGCGCGCGCCCCCGTGAACAGTGAGAAGGACGGCGAGGGCGAAGGAGAGGGGGATGGAGAGAGAGAGGAAGCACAGGCACACTCGTCTGATGTGCTCCTAGTCGAAAGTGGCGGCTACGGAGACGCGAAACGTTGTTTGTTTTTATTCGGTCGAATTCGAGTCCCTTGTTTCGTGGAAATTTAGCATGACGCGATCATTTCCACCAATAAGGAAAACGTGTTTACCCTGCTTCTGCGAGGCATTAACATCGGTGGGTTTGTGCGAATCAGTCCTACACTTTTCGTAGCAAACTCCTTCTGAGAAACGGGCAATACATAGTTTGTAATCACTATCTTGGTCGGAAACACCTGCGGTAGAAGAATAGACGATAACTAAATCCTTTACAAAAATGTAAAAACTTGACATTCTATTTTCTCGAAAACGAAGCACGGGATGAAAAAAAATGTTACGTAATTTTTATGTATTTGATATTAATAATTACGAATTAAGGAAAAAAACGGATGTTCTTTTTACGTAAGAATTATGATATAATTAATCACTTCTGATATTAATTGTATGATAGTACATTATCATAAGTAACTAAAACAATGATTTTAACTGTAGCTTTTATGCGTTACGGTTGGATTGAATTTTAAATAATTGGACTTAACCTAATTCTATTAAAATATTTTTATTTAGGTTATTTCATTGTAGATCGCAGTAAAGATACGTATAAATATTATCCTTTCTCAATTTATTATATTTCTGCATTGAAAATTTGTACATGTAAATAAACTATGTTTGGGTGTTCGAAACTTTCTTCTTAAATAAACTTTATCAAATAATTGAATTAGTTGATCAATTATTCAGGTCTCTTGGTGGACTGAAAATCATCATCTCGTTGCAACAAATTATGCAAACGAGCGTTTGCATAAGATTCTGATCCTACACAGGTATTATTCAGGATTGTCGATATGAATATAGAGAGTTATGAGTGCATTTGCCAATAATTTTATTGGCTGTCGGCCCCATAAACGTGCTCCTGATATTTCCCGTGATTCGGTCAACACTGCCCCTCTTTATATGATGGAGAAATGATGAGGTTTGTTCTGAAATTACAAACAGTCTCTAAAATCATGATAATGCAATGAAAGTACCATTTATATACGTTTCTGATATACAGCATGATTCACGGAACAGTAACACATCATACCTTTTGTTTTTTCATTTCTAGAAGATTACTTAAAAAATAAGGTATCGTCACGTCCTCTAAATTCTGTAGAAGGCGTAAAAGCAAAAATATGAATTAATTGCAAAGCAATAATCAGAAATCAATTTTATTCGGTTTTGCAGGGAATAAAAAACCTATCACGAAATATTGAGACTGTTTAGTTGTAAATTTATACAAAACACAGTAAACTTTCGTCTACATGAACTTCATCTTTATGAACGAAATTTTGATGAGTGCTCGATTATGTTATAATAAATGATCCTGTACTGAACCTCATGAATAGAGCTTTCATGTCAAACTCTTTTTATAGAGAATATTGAGGAGATTCGATAAATGCAAACAGCAAATTTCAATTTATAAAGTAGCGTATTCATCTTTTTCTTTTAACATTTCGATCCCAAACAAAAAATTTCAATTTATGAAGTAGTGTATTCATCTGTTGCTTTTAACATTTCGAACGCAAACAAAAAGCTTCAATTTAGAAAGTAGTGCATTCAGCTTTTGCCTGTGACATTTCATTTAGACTTGAAACAAAAAAATACGATTACAGTTGTATGCACATGTTCTACATACATACACTGATACGTATTAATATCTCCAAAAAATTCATGTCAGTTCGTTCAATATGACAAAAGTTATTCTATTTTAATCGGTCCCTGAATATTAATGCGAGTGACTGTACATGCACTTGCTAGCACTGAAAAAACTATCATTTGTTTCGATGAAAAATAAAATCGGATTCCCTTGTGAAATAAATATGATCAGATACACATAAGAATATTCAAAACTAACATAAACTAAAAACGGTAAAATAATATTCATAAATGATTGAAATTTCTGTGAAAAATTCAACGTAGATTTCAACCTTCTTCCGCAACTTTCAGGTAAACAATTCCAGCGACTCGGCAACGTTAGCTACAAATCTAAACAGTTCACGATGTTTTCTTGTAGTAGAATACTATGACGGCAAGCATTGTAGTAACTGCATGTGCTTGTGCAAGTTTCGAAGAAAATTAGAAGTCGAGAATGTTTGTACTCTTGATGCGCACACTTTGTTAACACAAGATCGTGTGTTAAGACAATTTCTAAACGTGTTTAAAGACTTTTTTTTAGAAGTAACTATGTAGCGAATCTCATGGAAAATTACAGGAAAGAAGGTTCTTCTAATATACAAGGCGTCTGATTAGTTTCTGCATAAACTTTTCCACCATATTCGACATGTAAAAGTAACACTGTGATTGATTAAACAGTTGTAACAAAAATATTAAAACAGAAATTGTATCAATATTTGAATAACATTTAATTAGAACCGAATTTTATAAGGATTTTATTGAATTATATCTCATGTAATGTTTATTATTACTTTTGTGTAATTTGGATATTCCAAAATTATATTTGAAAAATATTTTAGATTAAAAACAGCAGGTTTGGTATATATATATATATATATATATATATAGTAAAATATTTTAATGGAAAATTAATAATAATTCTAAAAGTGAATGCAAATAATGTAAAATAATTATGTAATTTGTATAAAACCGACAAATTTAAGATGTGAACTATTGATGTAAAAAGGAGGTTCATCACCCTAACTCACCGAAAACGAGGACATTCGTAGAAAAGAACAGTACATGAACATCATGAAAAATGTAGTTTCGAGGAATGCTTTTAAAATTCGAAGACATTATACAAGGTGCAGGTATGTATAATACATATATTTTGCATATCAGCTTGTGCTAAAAGCCTAGACCCCTCATGTTTTACTTTGAACGCTTCAAACCGGTGCGCAGTGGCGTGTAAGCGAAAGGAAAAAGCTTTGTATGAATTTTTTCGAAAGTTTACAGTACTCTAAACCCCTTAAGGCTCAAACTCGCGTTATGGTTTTCAGCGAGAACGGGACTATCTTTCCAAACGTTGAATGGTTCCGATCGCAACGGCGGGATGTGCGAGTGTGGTTCAATTGTTTTCCGATATTACCTTTCGGGGTAGCAATCCCGTAGCCTTTGCTGTCCAACAGGCCACCGATTTGCGTGAGATTGCAATCCCGTTGTACCGCATAATCGAGCATGGTGGATTCCATCAGGAAGGCGTAGTCACCCTCCAACACCCTCTTCACCCCGTCTTCGTAGCTCTTCACAAACACCGATGGCGACTTCGATTCCATAAACCTCCACATCTTCTGGTAAATCCCAATCTTCGAATCCTGTTAATCCGACAGAGAAGAAGGATGCGATGTGATTGGCTCTCGATTTATGGGATCAGCGTAAAAATCCTTCCTTCTTTCCCATAGACGATATTTAGTGAATAGAGAAAACGAACTAGCCAACTGTTTACGATAAGGTAAAATGATCTTTGCGATAAAAGATTATTTATTGAAAGCTTATTAACGAAAATGTTTCTCTATATTTTTTATTACTGGGCATATTCCATTATTTCAAATCGTCAGAAGCGTTAACGTAACCCAGACATTAAACATATGCGAAAATTACTTCCTGAAGGAATAAGATTTAAGTTTCGATAATATTTTTGCGACTGACACTACTTCTTTCGTTGTATATAATTTTATTATTACCTACGATTTCAATCAAATTCTTCTACAGTCATGAAACACATGGTCAGATTTTCAAATTCCCATTTTTACGCGATAAACATGAATTAGCATTTTTCGTACAAATAACTTTTCACTGAACAACGATCGCCATGTAAAATGTAAAACATAAACTCTCATCACAGCAGAGTGCTTACGACATACTCTGGCTCGGAATCTCGAAAAATTCCGGAATATCGTTTTTTCTACAGCAGCGTCGCCTTCTCATTCTCGGTTGCAATTATTCCGCAATTGCGTTCCATTGCGTTCCAGTCTCGGCAGCTTTTTTTTCTGGTGATACGCGAAACAGCGGGAACGTTTTATACTTATTGGTCGCAGTTCACGTGGAATTCCGGAGAGCAATTTCTCGAGAGTATACCAGAAATCTTTTTTCTGATCTCTTCGTTCCCGTTCCACGAAGGCAGCAGTGTTTACTGGCGACGACAACGTTCGCGTCGACAAATACGCGATAGTGTTCGCGTGTGACTCGCGGTTTCAATAGCTCGGTATTAGTACAATGCAACAATGGCGTATCGTTCCGCGACGGATTTAATAACTTTAAGAGTCCGCAGGAGAATGCTCTCGGAAATTTAACAACGCGAGCGGTTCGTGCCGCGGATTTCACGGTGGACGCGCGAAAATTGTAACACAGTTTCAGCGGCGTAATTAGTCAGATTAGTCACGCGTACGATTAAAACCGATAAGTTTACGGTTTTGATATCAACCGGCCGGTCGCATGTATTCGCCTGTCCCATTCGTTAAAATCATCGGAAGGAACGTGCGAAATACCGATGGAAGAGTGCTCGGCGCAGCTATCGACAAGTGGTTGGTTCGTCGAAAACTGTTGTCCGCGTTTCGAATGTCGTAAATGATGCTTTTTGCATTGAAATTTCAAGCACCCGCAGCGGCGAAATGTTTATTGAGCTTTCGGAATTGGACCTCCAGTAAATTGCAGGTCAATTTGCTCTTCAAAGGATTATTCTAGCTTTCAGTGTAAAATGGATATCCATTGCGAAAAATGCTTTTATGATTGTTAAACTGTATTGAAAATGCGTCAATTAGCAACATTTTTTTAGAAGAAGCATGTCTTTTATTTCCCAGCTTTCATATCGTGCAAAAAGAAATAGGGAATAATGAATGGATTGGAAAATAGAGATGTGAAGCTTTAAAATAAATCATTTTTGCAATATTATTACAATTTGAAAACAACTTGAATATATAATAGATTCTAGACATTATACGTCAAGTGACTTAAAAATGTGACTGGTGGTTTTATGCATTTATAATAAAAATGAGTGTGACAAATACAAAGTTGAAATGGCATTAGAAGAAGATAAAAGACATTTTCAGGTAATTTATATTCCTTATAATCAATTTAGGCAATTTTAATTTTGCATAAAGATGCGCAGTCTAATTATTACTATTAAAAGTAGTAATAAACCGTTTCACTAACCAAGGTATGAAACATTTGATGGCTAATTTAAATAATTTCTTTTTTTTATTAAGCTTCGGAAACCTTTGAAGAAGGAACTGCAGTGGAACGAAAATTACGCACAACAAACATCGTAATCGCCAGCACAATGGATATTGATCTACTCACTCGTCGAAAGCATGTTCGTCAGATTTTCATCTTAAGCAGCTTTTTGCTAAACATCAGATACTTACTCTAAAGAACGTCATCGTGCTGCCACCTTCCAAAGTACCATAAGAGATTTCGGTTTGTTCTGCGAGATCCGCCGCGTTTTCGATGGGCGTTATCATTCTCTCGACGGTTAAAAACGCAGCTAGGTTCGCCGTGTAGGAGGAGATGATGATCAGCGTGAAGAACCACCAGATTCCGCCCACTATTCTTGTGCTAGTTGCCTGATGATAACGATCGATACACTATTTAGTCGCAAAATTCGTGGCAGCCCACGCGAGCAATCCCTTTCCGATTGTTTTATAAATTTTATTCGAGTTGCTGGGAACCGTAACTCTTTTCTTTTATTGTGCCTTTGGACTGCGAAAGATCGAAACAGCTAAACAACAGGTGGATACTTGGCAACGCTGTGTAACCCGGACCCGGGACAATGAATGATTTAACAGCGTTCGGTAGTCCAGTGCTCTCCTTTACTATTTGTTAACGATACGATTCCGTTCGTTTTTGTGCTGTTACGCTGGACAATGTTCTAGGTAT